TTCAGCGGTATGGAGGAAAGGATGCGGGGACGGCGTGGCCGCCAACCATCCTCAGCCCCCGCGGCAACCCACGGGCTCGCAAGGGGACCGCAGCACCTGCACGGCCTCTGTGGTGGCTTCGCGGTTGGCACTGCCGTATTTGCGCCGAAGCGGAGGCGCGCGAAGGCCTTGCACTATGCGCTCGCGGAAGCAACTGGCATCCAGGCCTGCGCGGGTACCGCGACGGTGGCCTTCTTGGGCGCGGAGCCGGGCGTGGATGACGAGGCCGTTCCGCTTTACACGCTGGTGCCATGCCCCCGCGGCGTTCTCACGAGCGACGGCGCGTCCGAAGGTGAAACGGTATGCTCTCTCGCTGGCCGAGTTCTGAGCACAGCAACGGGGCCAATTGCTTTGGCGAAGGCTGGCGCGGCCAGTGGCCATTGGCTTTCGTGCGAAAGCGACCCTGAAAGTGATATCGGGAACACGCTGGTGCCCTCCGAGGGAGATCAGTCGTCCCTGAATTTTACGGAGGAGACACCCGCTGCACAACCAGCGGTTTTGGAAATAGAGGAGGGGCAGGGGGTTAAAGAGGAGGGAGAATGGCACGTTTTGGACACCGTATACCAACCGCCCGAAGCGTTAGAGGTTTTTTGCGCCCGTGCATTTCGTGCGTTGTGCGGCAAGGTCCTTCGCCGCCTTGTGTGTGATGAGGGCCCAGTGGCGCAGGTTCAGCATGTGATCCTCTGCGTTTTTGAAACGTACAGTTGCCTAAACAGATTTGAGGTGTATATGGCGCTCCGTGGTCACGAGGTGCATCTTGCTGATGGCCTTGGCTCCTCCAACGCGCGGGTTGCGGCAGAAGACCCTCCACAAAATCCGACTGGCGCACTTTGGCTTTGCCTTCTTTCAGAGGACGTTGAGAATGAATACTCCGCCATGGGTCTGCTGAAAGACTGGCTGCCCCCGGGGTGGTGGCGACCACAAGGTAAAAGGAAAAGCGACGGAACACCGATTTCTATCTCCATAGTCCAATTTGATGAAAACATGCCGGTTGCGCGTGGCGATGTTGGCGGCCGGGCGTGGGAGGAGATGCGTCTTGACGACGCCGTTGGCGCCAGCGCGGCGGCGCTGACACTTCGAGCGGCCTTGGATGGCGTAGGCTTCTCAAACCTGATTAAATGCCGCTTGCTTCGCGGCGTGGAGGCAGGAGGGCCTGCAGAAGAGAGGCACCCACACACAGCGCCAAGAAGGCAGCAGCGGCAGGGCCTTGAGGGGTCAGCGTTGGAGCTCTGCGTGCCCGCAAGTGTTTGGCAGCTCGGTCTCGTTCGGCTGATTCTGGCGTGCGGCGCGCCGGCGGCACGGGAAGCAGATGAAACAAACCGCCGGGCGGCCCAGGACGTTGAGGAAGACTTCCTGTCGCATTGCGCCGCTCTGCCACCGGAACTAGTTGAAGCCATTGCTTGCGGAAATGTTTTTAGCGCGGCATTACTTGCTACGCTCAAGCCGCTGCTGGGTGGGCGGCGGCTGTTGGACGAGATCAAAAGAAGAGTGATGCGGGATGGGAACTTTATTGGTGGAGAGGCATTTCCTCTGCTGGAAGCTGCGCGGGCTGCTTTGGAGGACGCGCTCTCAAAGCCACCGGCCGGAAGACGGACGCAAAGGGAGCAACGCGTGGCGCTTGTTCTTCCGAACGCCAGCGGCGCCACAAGCGAGGCAGAGGCTTATCGGCATGCGTTGCAGCGCTTTTTCTACCCACGGCACCTGTTCACATTGGCGACGGCCGAACCGCGTCGTCCTGGTGCCGCCGCATTGCTGGACAGCAGTTGTTGGCTGGAACTGGGAGGCGTGCTGTTGCTTAGCCCCGAGGACCCGCTCTGCAGGATGAGCGCCCTTCAGGAAGAAGCCGATGTCGTCATTGCGTGTGGCAAAGCTGCCGCGGCCTTTGCGGCAGAGGGGTGCGACGCGCGGTGCGTTGCGCTGCTCTCGGAGCTTGAGCTTGCGGGTGGTCCGGGCCACCCCTGGATTCCCTGGCCGGGGCGAATGTGCGCGAGGAGGGCCAGCAGCACAGAGCAGGCCATAGCACAAAGGGCCGTGGCCGCAGCAACGGGGGCACCGGGGAAGGGGTTGCCGAGCACACCGCCCGTTATGGCAAAAGCGGCGGGTTTACTGTGGCGTCTCGGTTGGCCCGGTGGCGCGCAAATGAATGAAGAAACGTTTGCAGAGCGAAACGGAGGGCGAAGGCAAGCGCAGAAGCGCCCCCGTGATGAGACAGCCCACTGGGATCGCCTTTGCCGTCTGGCGGAGGAGCTGCTGCTGTGGTGCTGTCGTGCCCCCGCCGCGTTTATCGACGAGCCGACCGAAGAGGGGCTCCCTTCTCTGCGCCTGTCTTCTTTTCAACGCGCTTAGCCCTACCGGCGGGTGTTTTTCTATGCGTCTTTACGGCCTGTGGGGTTCTGCCGGACGGTATGGTGTGCGGCTTTTTCGGTGACGAACCCCGCGCGCGTGAATTACCAAAGGGGTTCAACAAAAAAGAAAAAAGAGGAAAAAAAAAACAGAAGAAAACAAAAGAAAAGGAAATGGAAAGAGAGAATATACTTCCCTTTGGTTTTCTCTGTTGCCATTATTTTTTTGTTTATCTCTGTTCTGCTTTTTTTTTTCTTTTATTTTTTTTTTTCTCTCTTCCACTCGCAAAAAGATACACCCTAATCAAAGAGAAGGTAGGTAACGGCTGCCGCGATGGTGGCGATTGCGGCCGCTCGTACCTTCCCGAGTCGTTGCTTGGCCGGTTGGGCCAGCTCCTGCCACATCATTACCGCCATAGATCCGAATGCCACCCCTTCCCCCGTCCAAACTGCCTCCTCGGAGACGGCGGGGGAACACGTGGCGACGGCGTAAAATGCACCCGCCTGACCTGCCCGCGCCACCGCCGCCGCAAGCAGCGTGCGCAACAACCCGCTTCGCTCAAGCGAGGCCGTCGCCACCAGCATCCCGTCCGGCACCCCGTGGAGGACTTGAGACTGGAATAAGGCGGCGAACGCGGGAGTGCCCACCAGAAGTCCCAATCCGGCCCCTTCCGCCGCCCCATGGGCGAGCATGGCGGCCGTCGCGGCGTTGGAGCTCGCGTCGCCAAAGTAGTGGTGCGTTTGGAGAACCAGTCCCCCACCAGCGGCCATACCACCGAGGAAGTAGAGCACATCAGGGGACGCCAAACCTCCATGGGTAAAGGAAGGAAGAAGGGGTTGTAGCATTGCAAAACAAGAGAATGAAACTACGCCTGCAGCGATTGCCTGCGCAACGGGCTCAAGCAACGTTATAATTTTAATGTTGCCTTGCCGTTTTGCAATACATAAAGGAATATAGTACAGCAACACACCGACTATGGCAGCCAACAGCAGCTCTGCGCACTGGTGACCTAGCTCACTTCCAACAAACCATGCTGGTATAAACATTTTTCTTTCTTCAAAAATCCAGACTCTATTAATAATCTTTGAAAAACTATTTCGTTGATTGTATTAAAAGGAAGCGCAAACACGAGGAAGGAAGGAAGGAAGGAAGGAAGGAAGGAGAGAGAGAGAAATCAAAAAACATGTAGGAGAATCCAAAGAAAAAAAAGGAAAGGAAAGGAAAGTAGCAACAACAACAACAACAAAAAAAAAAAAAAAAAAGAATGAAAATATCATTTCCATCACATAGTACTTTTACTCAAACTTTATAATGCCTCCTTCCACAAAGTATCGGATTAAATCCGTTCTGTCTTTCACTATGGCATTTTTCACCCTTTTCCTCATCTTGCAAAGACCAGCAATGTAGTTGAGGAAACTCGTATAACTTAGTCGGGAAGCTCTCTTCCGTGCAATTAACCAGCGTAATGCGCTGTTCTGAAAAAGGATAAGGGTCAATGAATGGATTTGACCACCCTTTGGGTGAACTCTGCGCAAATTCCTCACTTAACACATTTATACTGTTATTTACAAAAATTGTGTTAGCCACTAAAATTCGTCCTTCAACAGGAAGAGGATAGTTATCACCGTGTCGCAAAGCAACTTGAGTGCGTCGAAATAGAACGTCATTCAGAAATGCTTGATGACCTGAATCACTGTGTCCATTCTCTACACCTTGTTGTACATCAGATATAATGGTATTTTTTACAATTACCTCACGAAGTGTGCCTGCACTAGAACTTAGTGCAATACCCTCGTGAAGACAATTTTGTAAAACGTTACCATCAATTGTCAACTGTGTAGAGTCTTTAATTTTATCATCTACACTTTTTGAAGCACTACTTGCGCTGTCAATACAGTCATCAAGTGTATTCATCACTACTACACGTTGTAATTGAACTTTCCCACCTCGTAAATAAAGTCCATCATTATCACCATCCACATAAAGACTATTTTGTATCTCTTTTTCCTTCTCATGTTTAGCTGTAGTAGAACTACGAAGAAGAATCTCAGATTCATACGGCACATCCAGAATATGTACCCTTTCCATTTGTGACTCACATTCCACACACTCCCCACCTTGTGCCACATCTTGAAATAAGGTATTAGCTATTAGAATCTGAGCACGATAACCAGCACCAAAAACAGGACCTGCACAGTTTATAAAAGCTGAGTTGTTTATAAAAACTTCTGCAACTCTAACCTTTTCTGTCTTGATATCACTTCCCACAGCTGTAATAGCTGGAGCTGCGTACGTTACATGTGATCCTGTCCCTTTGCGACGTTTTTGCCCTACTGATCCTGTAAGTGCTACAGTAGTTTCCTCTATCCTGAGAACACCACCCGCCTCAACAATAATCCCACCCCAGTGTTCACCAGGTAAAGCAGACGTTAGTAGTGAACGTTTTTTAATATTACCAGAAATGTAAAGTTTAACATCTGGACCAACTATTAAACCTGCATTAGCCTTAAATAAAACCGTACACCCTGATGGGATGATTACTGCTTCCGAATTGAAAAATGATAAAGGCTGTCGCAGCTCTAGAAAAGTTGTCACAACTGCGACACAAACATTTCCCTCTTCTTTTTCTTTTTCTTCTTTCTTAATAGCCGAAAAAAACTGTAAAAACGTCTCAACACTATTTATTTGTGGTAATTCAGATAATTTTCTGGAGAGCCAATGTGATGAAATGTCAAAAGTGATATGACTATTATCGTGGTAAATGGAAACTACATGATGCTCAATTTTCTCAGGAATTGCAGGAGGTAAGTTCAGTAAAATATGACGTTCAAAATAATAATGCGCTGCATAAGGTGATCTATGCACTGGTTTAGTTTTTCTTGAAGTAGGGATTTTTTGACGTAATAAAGTACGCACACGGTCTGTTATTCTTGTACCTTTTTCTTCATCATCATCATCATTTCCATAATCCATCAGCCAAAAACTACCGCGTCCATAGAAAATTTCAATCTCCTTTGAAAGACGATGATACTCTATCCCATTATCCGGACGTCCTCTTGGGTCCATTGTAGCCGTTAAGTTGAAAAGATGATTTAAGTGTGATGTTACTTCCACTATAACAGGACAAGGAATACCACGGATACATAACGATGGGATGTGAAAGATTAATTCCTTCTTTAAATTCCATTGAATATTATAATAATCATCACTATTCCATGTACGGTGTAAAGTGTACGGTACCACACCATATTCCGTTTTTTTTCTAATACTGTCAAAAGTGATAAAGGATTGTGCGGCAATAACACACTGTTCATCCGGATCCCATGCCATTAAGCAATTCCATCCAGTACTCCAAAATGATAATGGTAAACGAACAACTCCTTGTAAAAACAATTGAGGTTTTTCATTTTGTTGTCGTTTTGGTACCAAAAGATTTTCTCCATTTATTTTTTTATGAGGTACTCCAATATGAAGTATATTTCCCAACCGCTTTTGCATTTCCTCTGTCGTTGTAAGAGGGCAATATCGATTCATTTCCTCATTACCTCCCTGTACTTCTATAGGTGACTTTACACCTGTATTAATATCTACCTCGCCATCATCATCATTAGTAGTAGTAGTTCTCAGAGGTGAGATTCGATTATCATGCCCATCTTCAGATAAATACGGTAACAGAAATGTTAATACAGCTAGAATAAAAATAATGATTAATAGAAATCGTCTATTTATACAACGTTTGCGATGATACCTTTTTGCAGTTCCAACCCAACGTACCATTCGTCGCCTTCAGTTTTCTCATACTATACATTGGCAAAACCCTCACAAAAACGCACACAAAGAGGGAAAGAAAGAAAGAAAAAGAAAAGAAAAAGAAATAAAAAAAATAATAATTATTATTACAATTATTATTCTAATTATTCATAAAGTTTAAAATTTCAAACTATTTTTTTTTTTTTAGGCCTATTTATCATTTTGTTTCTTCTCAGAAAAGCATAGTTCATTATAGTCGCACGTACCACTCATAAACATCAAAATCAACTTTACCTCTCACTACCTTTCTGTCCCTTCTTCCTTTTTTCTTTTTCTTATCATTCTCATCTCCCTCTCCTTCACTATCACGCATATATTTGTTTCTTATTCTCTTCGTCAATAGAGCATTGACCCTTACTCAACATATCGAAGAAAAAAGAAAAAAAAAAAAAAAACGGCGTGGTGAGCAATATATACATCTGTTGAAATGAGAACACACAAACAACACCAACCAAACGTGGAGTACGCTTCCTATTTCTAGAAGAAAGGGATCAATGAGAATGCAAAAAAAAAGTATATATATGAGACAGAAACGGTGACATCACGCTAGTTGTCCTCGGTTAGTGAAAGGCTTCCGCCTTGGCACTGGTGTTTGTGTGGGTAAATTCTTATGTGTATGTGTATGTAAAAAAAAAGAGGGAAGAAACAGACCAGTGCCTAGTTAAATAAATGAAGAAGAGACAGCAACTGTACTGTCTAAGGACTTCTTTCGCGCTGCTGTTGGTTTCCTTTTTTTTCTCATTACCCGTTTGGTTTTCTTCTTTTTTTTTGTATCACGCTTTTCTTTTCTTCCTTCTTGAGTGTCTTTTTTTTTTTTCCTACAATGAAAGTGGCTGCATGTTTATGGCAACACCGTCATTTTTTCTTTTTCTTATCACTCTTTCACGTAGAAAACATCCCTCAAAAATGTGTCCAGAGTCACCAATTTCCATACAGAATCAAAAAAAAAAAAAAAAAAAAACAAGAACAACACAAATTCATCTATTTTATTTCAAATATCCGCAAGGAGAAAAGAGGGAGAGTATTCACGCAACTAGAACAGATACATAGTGTTACTTTTCTTTTCGTATTTTTTTTTCTTTCGTTTTTTTCTTCTTTGTTTTAAGAGTCTCCTCGCGTTCCTTAACACTTCTCCTTTCAATTTTTTTTTTTTTTTCGTAACCCTGCTCTTGTTTCCTCTTTTTTGTTTTTGTTTTTGTATTCCACTATTCAGAGTAATGTTTCTGTTTCTCACATTCGGCTTCAACGAGCACTGAGTATTTTCTCCGACTGCACTAACCGGCGACGACCTACCGGGGCATTAACAGATGCCGTTAATCCCCCAGTTTGTGGGGACACAACCCCACGTGGGGTTCGAACCGAACGTGGTGTGTGAATCTGCTGCTGTTGTTGCGGTGGTGGTGGGGGCAGCTGCCGTCTCACTGGGCTTGCACGCCTTGGCGTTCGCGGGGTTCGCGGGGTTCGTGGAAGTGTGGTGCGCCGTTGAACCATTGAGAAGTCGTGCGTCAGTGGGAGATGGGCGACTGGTGGTCTCGCCTCACTGGCGTTTTCGCGGGTTTGCGGGCGCTGTGCGGATCGCCGCAGGGAGGTGTTCCTAGGCGTCATGACCACCGGTGTTGGCAGCGACTCCCGGGCGGATTCGGGTGTGGGCGGTACGTTGTTGGTGGGATGTGAGGCCCGTCGCCGTACACCACGTGCCCGCACAGTCGCGGGCGGTTCGAAGTTCGACATGCGCCGCCCAAGGAGTAAAGAGGATGGCATCGGCGTGTGATCTGCGGGGAGTGGACCCGTTGTGTCTGGGGTGGGGAGAATGAGTTCGCTGGAACTGTCCATGTGGCCATTGCCCTGCGGTGACTGGGCGTTGAGCTGCGGGCTGGAGTTTTTACTTGGCCGCTTGGGACGACGCGATTGAGGTCGTGTGGGTGATGATCTTCCTCGACGCATGGTCTGGTTCTGTGGTGGTTTCATCCCCTTGGCTGGAGGTGAGACGTTGAGAGGACTTACTCCACTCTCATACTCTTGTTGTTGTTGCTGCTGCTGCTGCTGCTGCTGTTGATGGTGGTGGTGCTGTTGTTGTTGTTGTTGACGTTGTGCATCTCCTCCTATTGTGGTACGTTGTGCTCTTGAGCTGTACACTGGGGTCATGTAACGACGAACTGGGACGCCATTCATAGACACACGTCGTGGTCGTCGAGCTGCATATTCGGCATAGTCAATAATTTGCTGGGCGTTGCAGTACAATGCACGGCAGTCATCCTGGCAGCGTTGGATATCCATGACTTGCCGCGAGTCTTCATCCAATTGTGCCAATACCTGATCCATTTTATCCATGTAACGCATTACCAATGTTTGACATTCGTGTGCGTACTCCACCAGTTCTGGATTAACAAAGAAATTACGCTTAGACCCCACAAGACCTTCAATAAGTTTTGGCTCCTCCCTTGCTACGAACGCTCTCACACGGTTACGTAGGGCATCACACAAGTCTGCCGATGTTAGTAATCGGAGACGCTGTTGACTCCGTCCGCGTTTTTGCACCGGTGTCGATTTTTCCCTTTTGCCATTCACAGAGGCTGATGCAGTGCGATCATTGTGGGTACTTCCATGTCGACGAGATGAAGGTGTCCTCCTTCTATTCCCTCGTGGTGTTTGAAGTGTTGTGCGAACTTCCATCCTTGGAGTCTGTGGCGCACCATTTACTTCGATTACACCATCATCGATTTCTGGTGCTGCGATCGGCCAGACATTTGGTTCACTGCCTTCAACGTGACTGCCTTCAGGGGCCGGTGGCCATGGAACCTCAATAATAGAGAAGCGGTTGGCAAGAAGTGAATAAAAGAGACTTCGTTCACTAATCACAGGAACTTGAATACCTGCGCGGTGAGCATCATCTAGAACCTGCTGCGCAGCAGCCTCTTCATCGGGATCACCGTGCTGCAACACACCCTCCATATCATGATCCACCACAATAAAGAATGTGGCAGAAGTAACGGTGGCACCCATAGAGGAAGCAGAAGTGTCACAGTTGTTGGGAACAGGAGTACTTGAAGCATCAGCGACACCGCCGTCAAGAGGAGCAGCTTCTTGAACCGAATCAGGAGAATTCTTCTTCTTGTCGTTGTCCTTGTCCTTGTTGTTGTCGCCCTCTTCTTCCTCTTCTTCTTTCCTCTCTTTATCCTCAGTGATTTCCTTATCGCCGTGCGTATCATCTTCCCCATCGCCCTCATTATCAGCGGCAGCATCAGGGGAGATAGTATTAGTATTTTTATCATTATTATCATGGTTATCACTATTATTATTATTATTATTATTATGGTCGATGGGAATGGGATCAACAGCAATGGGCTCAGGCATCTCTTCAGGTTCGGTAGTAATGGAGGCCTCTTTCTTCACCCCTTTGGTAGTTATGATATTGGCTTCATCCAATCGATGCACCTCCCCACCACAAAGCGTCACCGCCTTTCGGTACCGCTCCTCCACCTCATCAGAAACAAAGAAGAACTCTTTCCCGGCGAAGAGTGTTTCACGTGTGCGCTTAATGGTGGCGTTGGAAGGAATGGGATAGAGCGGGAACGGACAGACGTCCGACTCTGGCCGCAAGTACCATGCCGCATGTGCAGCCGAGGTGCGGTTACACAGAATAGGCACTTCAAACCGCACGGGTGGTGGCAGTACGCTGAGAGGCGACGACGCACTCTGTGCGAGGGCCGCGAACCATTCAAACACATAAGTTGGTAGCACGACGGAGTACCCGGCGGCGAGTGCCGTCAGACACCACGCGTCCTCGTGGCCTGCGGTCTCCGTGGCGTACAACAAACCGATGGGCTGCGGGAGATCGCGGCGGACGGCGGGGCCACGACGGCGTGTGAGGGTCGCCCCGAGGCGGTGGTACATGAACTCCAGCTCCCGCACCCGGTCGCGGCCGACCCCCGCGCGAGAGACGCACACGACGAGCGGCCGGTACCGCACCCGCAGCCGCACTTGGGCGCCGAACTGCACCTCCGCCCCGTCGAGGAGATAAACCGGCGCGTCGCCAACCTCCACGTCGTTGACCGCCACGCGTCCGGCACCGCGCGGGCGGGAGAGTCGCAGCACGAGAGGATCCGCCTCGCGCAGCGGAGACGTCTCGTCCTCCACATCTTCCGTCTCCTCCGCAGTGTCCGGAATGGGCGGGTCGACGGCCGTGCCGGCTGCAGAGAACGTTTTCTTGTGCAAGTCCTCCACTCCAGTGCCGTTGTGAAGAGCGGTATCATCTTCATCCTCATCATCCTCAAGTGTGGGAACACTCGATCCTCTTTTTTCTCCTTTCACATCACGACGTTTTTGTTTTTGTTGCTGTTCTTGTTGTTTGGCCTGACTTTGCCGCATCACATTCAGCGAGGCGTGCTTCTGCGAGATATCACCATAGTCTAGGAAAATATCGCATTCACGAGCACGGCCGAGAGTGTACGGCTCACGGACAACAAGAGAATAATATGGCGCGCTTCCAGAAGGGCGGCCGCTCACAAACTCCAAAGAAATCATTTCAAAGGCAAATCACAAATCACACAGTTATTACAGGACACGCTATGGATTCCCCTTTGATACTCACTCGCCGTTTTTTTTTTTTTTTTGCTCTTTTTCTTTTCCGGGTTCACTCTGTGATTCCTCCTTTAGGGCTCTTGATGCTTGGTATTGATTGACCTCGGTTTAAAGCAGTGAATAGGTAGCAACAGCAAACTTAGTTTTTGCAATATGCTACTGTCTCGTTTTTTTCTCCTTTTTTTTTTCGTTTTTGTTTTCCTGATTTATTTTCTTTTTTTCTTTTTTTTTTTTCTTTGACGGTTACTCTAGCTGATGGAACACAAAAGGAAACAGACAGATTAAGAGCAAGCAGTAGCTCAGGGCCGCCAATCTTACTCTTAACCTTTTTTTTTGTTTTTTTTTTCTTTTTTTGCGTGTACACCAGTTGTCAAATGCCGTCCTCCTTTTTTTTTTGTTTGGATTGTTCTCTTTGTTTGTTCCCTAATCCCACCTTCAAGCGAGAAGGTAAACAAAAAGACCAAGGCAAATGAAACAACACGCGCGCGTGTGGAAAGAAATAAAAATCCTATTCTGATGATAGAAAGCTATATATTCTTCCAGAGAAAAAGAAGAAGAAAAAAAAGGAAAAATACGTATATTCAACCACATACATATATATGTTTAAGGAAACAAACAAAAAAAAGAACATGGAAATTTTGTGGTACCATTTCTAGTCAATAAAGTTGTACCAGAGTGTGCAGTTGAGAAGATCTATTTCATTTTTTTTTTATTTTTTTTATTTTTTTGTTCTTCTTCGATCCTTTTGTTTCTTCTCCTTTTTCTTTTTGTTTTCGATCTTTCTTTTTCAAAGATAACACAATGTCTTCATTGTTCGTTTTTTTTTTCTTTTTCTTTATTATTTCACTCGCCTTTTCTTTTTCCCATCACGTTCTGCTGTCATTGTTAGCAAGCCATGCAAGAGCATAGAAAAACAGGTAAATCATCAATATCAGTACATTTTTCCTTTTTCATAACAATTATAATTACCACAGTCCCATCTCTACACTGTGTAGTATATTTCACATCTATTTAACTCACAGAGAGAGTCTGATCAAGACGAAACCAACGTGGGCTCTGTAGATCCCTCTCCCCTATTTTCTTCTCCTTGTTGTTGCTGTTGCTGCTGTTGTTGTTGTTGTTGATATTGTTTCTTTATATCCTTCATTCGCTGCAGAAGTTCCTTCATTCTGTTAAATACCGGAGACTTGTACTTGCGGGTGGCATCTGCGGCTAACTCATTCAGTTCCTGTTTCCGCACAGGAACAGTCGCATACGCCTCCACACACTCCTTCATGGAAACAATATATGTTGTCACTGGTCGAGTCCCATCAGCTGCAGCCACGCGAGACTCACTCATCTCCACAGTATTAATTAAACCACGCATACTCTCAAGCGTCTCTTGCAGTTGTTTTCTTCCTGCCACTAGAGCCGTCTCTGTAGCCTCTAATGATGATGATGATGATGATGTTGTTGTTGTTGTTGTTTCTGTTTCGCTCTGTTCTTGTTTACTACGTTTTTGTTCTAACCGCAAGAGCACATCTAGATGTTTCTGTGCAAGGTCAATATTGCGTTTGAAGTTATCCAATGTCTCCCGTAATGTTTGTACTTCGCGATAAGTATCACCATAGTCACATGTGTTGTTATTCCCACCATCTGCTGGTGGCATTTCAGCCCCATTTGTATACATAGTGAGTCCTTCTGGTATGTAACCCCATTTCATGGCTGCAAGTGGGAACTCCCCAGCGTTATCAGTATTATTATTATTATCAGTATTAGTATTATTATTGTTATTCTCATTCCCACGGTGCATGAGGGTGGGAAGTGGTTTTTCACCTTTCCGATTGCGTTCTCGCATTTGTGCGGTGAACTGCTGCTCCGATTCCCGCAAATCATTGGCCATTTGAATAGCCGCCATGATCTTCACATCCTCTGCGGGGAGTTCAGCATTTAAACAAACAAGACGTGTGGGTCTGTAGTTAGTGAAACACACATACTGATAAGTGAGATTGGCAATAGCGGGGCGAAATGGGGCAATGAAGAGTGGGGCATCCAATAAGGATTCCAACATGGTGTGATTTTCCAATACAGTTGTGAAGAGCAACTTACCGCCAGGCTTAAGCAGCAACTTTGCGGTTTGAATGTATGCAGCCCATACATCTTCGGTGATGAATGGCGGGTCTGCCAAGATGTAATCAAACGCTGCGAGATACTGCACAGGCACCTGTTCAGGTTTGTGGAAATCATAACGAACAAATCCAGGCTCCTTCTCCCACTGACGGTCAAACTCAAATAGACGACTATTTTTCTTTAACTGTTCAGATGGAAGTAATGATGATGAAGATGAAGAGGTAGTAGTAGTAGTAGTGGATGGAGATGTGGATTCTCCATCCTTAACCATATTATTATTATCATTATTATTATTATTATTATCTGCCACTAGTGCAAAGTAGAGTGATGGTGTGGACAAGAAGGCACAAGCCGTGGCGTGTTGCCGGACTTCATCCAACAAGGTGTGTATGGTGTGTGTGGAGTACCAATATTGATTGAACTCCGCCTTCTCTTCACTGAAATCAAACCGCACCCCGTGCTGTGTAGTGAGGCATGTATTCATCTTATCAGCAGTATGGGCAGCCGTTGTAGAGAGTTCTTTATCCATTCTCAATCTCAATCTCACACACCCCTTTTTTTTTATTTCTCTATAGAGATAATAATAAGAATAATAAAGAATGAGAAATGAAAATATAATATGGGGAAAGGAAACGAGGAAAGAGGTAATAAATAAAGAAAAAATGAAGGTAAGAATTATTATAAAAATAAAAAGGGGGAAAAAAAAACACAGCGCATCTAAAAGGGAAAGTATGAGAAAAATAAAAATAAAAAAAAATGCATCTAATAAAACTGCCGCAAACACACTTTCCATCTGTGTTAAAACACCAAACTCATCTACTCACGCACTCTATCTATATATATATAGTCGTCTAAAACTGAGTGTAGTCTGTATATATATCTATATACATATATACACATCATATCATCTACAACGTGATAGTGAGAAAATGAACAAACACGAGGAAGTGCAAATACTCTACCTGCGGTATATGTGAATCCAACGGAATCAAAAAAAAAAAAAAAATGATGAAAAAACAGAAAAAAAAAAAACCAACAAGGTCTTCGCTTCACAGGAAAAAAAACAGACCGCAAAGTCTCTTACTATCATCATCATCATCTACGTCATTTCGTTCTTTTTGTCGTCGTTGTTCAATTCCCTCTTCTTCTTGCTCAGATGTAAACAAAAGGTGCACAAAAAAAAAGGGGATAAGTTAAAATAGAATATAGTATAGTACTAAGTGGTGGAAAAAGAAAATCATACTCTCTCATATAGATAGATAGATAGATAGATAGATTTCCTTCTCTCTCTCTCTCTATTTATTTAGCTCAGTTAAAGCTCAGAAAGACTGGAAGCAAATCTCTTGTAATCCACAAGAACATCTAATGGTGGCATTGCTGCTGTATGTTGTCCCGCATTATACAATTGTTGATAAAGACGCGGGAAAGATGTCATCATTCGATTTGAATAACTACTACCATTACCATTACCACTATTACTATTATCACTATTCTTCTTCTTATCCTTGTTGTTATCAATGGTGGTTGTGTTTTCTAATAAACCGAGGTGTTTAGCCGCATATCGCTCACCAAAGCACTCTCGGAAACAACTCCATAAACTCAAATAAAGTCGCATCACACTTTCCTCCACCGCACGTGTCTCTTCTTGTTGTTGTTTGATTGTTTTCTTCTCATGTGTACTGCCGCAGAGCGGTGAGAGTGGAGAGGATGGAAGAGAACCCCACAGCATCTCATTTATACGTTGTGGGGTTTTATCAATAGTAACAGCAGCATCAGATGATGATGATGATAATAATAAAGTGGAAGAAGAAGAAGAAGAAGAAGAAGAAGAAGAGTTTAATAGGATCAACTGCAATACTACACGTGTCACTACATGCATTGGAAGTGTACCCGCATCTCTGCGATCATATCCACGCAGTCGAAGTGCAATGCGATCGGCATTCTTCGCCAATAAAGAGCGGAGAACGGCATTCTTTGGCGGATCCCATACATTATTATTATTAATATTATTATTATTATTATTATTATTATTATTATTATTATTATTATTANTAATATTATTATTATTATTATTATTATTATTATTAGTCTCTTCTGTAGAGCAGCCGCCCATGCTTAACTGCCAAGATCTATCTATCCCCTCATGTGAATATAAATGACTCTCACCTTCCTCATTCTCATGATGGTTCACACTCCTCCTCATTGAGGATCCATGATGACTACGATGTGCATCTTCAATAGCCGCCATGAGCCGCTCACTCGCCCGCCGCACCTCTTCTCTTGCAGCTTCAATCAACGCAATTAAATCTTCACTTGGACGATGTGGAGTTGTTGTCATCATAATACTCTTTTCCTGTTCTTCTTCTTTTTCTTTTTCCTTTTCCTCTTCTTCTTCTTCATTACCATCTAATAATAAGAAAGAGGAGGCAGTGTTAGGTGTTACTGTATTCAACGCAATTCCCATCTCTATAGTGTTGGCTGCTCCCTCATCCTTTTCCGTACATGGATTCCCCTGAGAAGTAACCAGACAGTTGTTGTTGTTGTTGTTGTTGTTTGCTTTTATTTCCATATTATTATCAATAGAAGTATCTGTAAAAAGTCTCCGTGGAGAGACCATCGCATCACTGCAGCGAACATCAATCACCATTGAACTGTGCGGTTCCTCTTCTTTTTCTTCCACTTTTGTTTCTTCCGTTATTGCGGGGATGAGAGGACGTTGGCGCCACGGTGTTGGGGTTGGACCACTCACCAACACCAGCGACCCTCCATTTTCTTTTGTTATTCCCATCGGCAGTGTGTTATCTATACAGAGACTGTACGCAACACTCTTCTCCTCTTCTGGTTCTAGATCTGTTGATCTCCGTATGCATGATTGTTCTTCTTTTTTCTTTTCTTCTTCATCTTCTTCCTCTTGTTGTTGTTGTTGCTGCTGTTGAGAAGTGGACTCGGCCTTGAGACGTTTAACTTCATCTCTCTTTGGACTTTCCTCCACCTCTTCTACACAATATCCATCATTAATATTATTATTATTATTATTATTATTATTATTATTATTATTATTATGAGGATGATTGCCATCCTTCATAATAGCAGGCACAATGGGAGGAGAAGAAGTGGAGTCTCGACCGCAGAGTATAAAAGATGTTGACTGGTGTGAGGAGGGATGAGATCGTTCCCGCTTTACTCCATTTCCTCGCAGTGGCGGTTCTTTTCTCTCCATAGAAGAAGAGGAAGAAGAAGGATTAACAGTCATATGTGTTTTCATTATTGTAGGAGCCTCGCCATAAGAAAGAGGAAATGTACCGATAGTCTGTACATCATTCCTCTGATATTCTTTCACATCTTCTTCAGCATTACTACACTCAACAACTCCAACAATCTCAACAAGAGTTTCCTTCTCTTCACGTAGGCGTGTAGACATCTTATCGGATGTAGATAAAGATCTCGAGAGGGCTATCGTAGATGTTGGTGTACAACACAATGGAGGATTCATATCCTCATTGTTTTCCCGTTTATCTTCATTTCGCTCTTTCTCTTCCTCTTTCTCTTTATTCTCATCATCTTCCTTCTCTTTATTCTCATCTTTATTTTCATTCTCATCATCTGAGAAGTGAAGGTCTGGGAAGTTGGATGGCATAATAGCGGCCCGTGGCTTTGGCGACGGTGTTGCTGGGCGACTCTCTGATGGCCGCCGTGATGTGAGTGCACTTGTAAATGAGAAGGAAACATAACGACTGCTTTGCATTACACTTACTTCCCCATCATCCTCCACATCATAATTTCTGCGAAATGCGACAATACAATTCTCTTCACTGTTATTTTCATCCTCATTGTAGTTGTGGTGATTGTGCTTCTTCTTCCTTATAGGGTTAATATTAGCAGTAGTAGTAGTAGTAGTGTTAGTTTCTTCTCTCATCATCGCATTGGGAAGTAAACGTGTTGGTGTTGGGGCTGGTGTTAATGCTCGTTGTTGTTGTTGTTGTTCCTCTTGTTGTTGTTGTTGTTGGAATAATAATATTGATGAAGAAGAAGAAGTTTTATTACTTCTCGGCCAGACGGGTGATGTGGGTGCGGTTTGTGCATTCCCCACTGCACGTTGACGGCGTAGTTGCTGACGGGTGATGGGGAATTGTTGATGATATTGATAGTGTTGTTGTTTGGGTCCTCTGTTGAGATTAGTGTTGTGTGATTTGAGAGGAGTTGGGGGCGGTGGTGTTAATCGCAGCGATGGGCGTCCACACAACTGCGAGAAGTTTGCAGAACACTCAAGATCGCGATAGATGTCATCATCATTATCATCATCACTGTTGTTGTTGTTGTTGTTGTTGTTTTGATAATCCATCATTGGTGCAGATTATATATATATATATATATATATATATAGGAATCTACAGAGAAGAGGTATAGGAAAGGTTTATTTATTTATTTTTTTATCTTTATTTGGTTTGATCCTCCTCAAACCGGCACCTGTTCCTGTTTCTATCTACACTCTCTATTGTTATTATTGTTATTATTGTTATTGTTGTTTGTGTTCCTTCTCACGTCTCACTACTGTGGAGATGTGGAGTTTTTTTTTAGTGAACACAACAGCAGGATTGGTGTGTGTGTGTGTGTGTGCGTGGGAGACACAACTGCCTCTATCGTCGTCTTCGTAATACTCTAAGTGTAAGTAATAATAACTATTAATATTATTATTATTACGGTTATTTATTACTATTTTTTTTTTTTTTTTTTTTTGGTGCTTTGTATTATTTTTCTTTTTTTTTTTGGAAAGAAATGAGAGAGAGAGAGAGAGAAAGAGAGAAAGAGTATTTAGATAGTGTGCGAAGAACTATGATGATGTCATGTGTATTACTCTCTGCATTATGGAAGAGAGATAATAAAAGTAACAGTAAAGGAACCAATAACTAATAAAGAATAAATAATAACACTGGACGATAAATAAATAAATAAAATAAATAAAATAAACGAAACGATAGAGGAAAACTCCAAAATAAAAACAAAACAAAAAATAAAATAAACTCTTCCTATACTTATGAAAATAAAACAGTATTGATCACAACAGTGTCTGTACTCGATGGGCCCGTTGTGTTCTCAGCAGTTCTTCCACACGTCCAATATCATCCAACAACTCCTCCAGAGATTTAGTAAAGTTGTCTGTTTCTTCTAATGTTGTTTGTGTGTAAAACTCCGCCTGTTGTTGTTGGCGTTGTTGTCGATTTCTCAACTCCACTTCACGTTCCGCCTCCACATCTGTTGTATACATGGATGAAGGCAACGATGAAGAGAAAGAAGAAGAAGAAGAATAAGTAGATGATGATAATGATAATGATAATGATGATAAAGAAGAAGAAGAGGTTTGACTATTATCTTCATAGTCATTCCATGCTGTTAGACCTTTAGACTTATGGCGTGAGAGAATAGCGGGTTCATCCATGCCTTTCATCACAACATCCTTTATAGTGATATGAGATGTTAACATCTTGTTAAACCAACCCATCATTCTCTCACTCTTGCTATTCCCCACTATGTGTGTATATAATAAACCACTATTATTATTATTATTATTATTATTATTATTATTATTATTATTATTATTATTATTCATAGTAGAATTAGAATTAGAAGTTATTGCACATAGTGTCATGTACTGTCGTGCTAAATAGAATGATGTACTGCATGGACGTACACTAAATGTTAACATCTTTAAACGTTCATAGTGTGCTGCAATTTGTTTAATCCGTAATGCCAATACACTTGCTAATAAAATACGATCAGCGCTAAACTGAAGGGCAATCACAACTCTCACCCGCATCTCATTATCATTATCATTATTCTGCTGTTCTTCTTCTTCTACTCGCCCAGCACTGGGGTTATAGTGAGAGCGAAGAGGAGAAACCAACGCTGATGATGATGGAAGAGGTACATTCAAACGTCTTTCATTCTTTCCTTTAGAATCTGTTGATATTCCAGTTTCTAATGTTGACTTTATTCCTCTGATGATATCATTAGTTCCTTGTTGAGATCGTTTACGTCTCTGCCGAGTCATTCCTGTAATACACATTGCCTGCATTCCATTTGGTAATGCCTTCTCATCTACAGTGATCTCCACACGTACTGGAGGGAACTCCTTAGAAGATGTTAGCCACTCAGCAGAACGTGATTGACCTTCTTCTTCTTTTTCTTCTTCACCTCTACGAAAAGATCTTCCCCACATATTATTATTATTATTATTATTATTATTATTATTATTATTATTATTATTATTATTGTTAGTATGGCTCTTTTTATTCTTATTCTTCTTCTCTTTGAGTTGTGGGGCGTAGGCGCCGAACTCGAGTCTCTCCACAATAACACCCGCCCGTCCACTGCGTTGTTTTAATAGAAACAAAGATCCATTGCGTGTCAACACCACCGCACGGGGGGCCAAACGTGTGGAAATCAAACTTCTCCCCCGACCACTATTACCCACACTGTCACTATTACTATTATTATTATTATTAGTTATTGGATTACCAACAGGGAGAAGTTGATCGCAGTGGGCGGCGAAAACGGGCTCCAGCGCCTCTGCGGATGGACGCCGCAGTCCAATCAACCGCACAAATTCGTCTGTGAGTTCCACAACCGGCGGCGGCTCCGCTGCCAACACCCGCAATTCATCTCGAATCCCATCCATCAGAGAGAGATAAAAAGAAAGCTGATGGATTACCACTTATATATATATATATATATATATATAT